ACAATGAGAACACATAGACACAAGGAGGGGAACATCAAACACTGGGGTCTGTTGAGGGGGACTAGGGGAGAGACAGTGGGGGATAGGGAGCTTGAGGAGGGATACCTTGGGGAGAAATGCCAAATAGAGGTGATGTGGGAATGGAGGCAGCAAAGCACATTGCCATGTATGTTCCTATGCAACAATCTTGCATGTTCTGCACATGTACTCCAGAACCTACAGTGAAATAAAACATATATATGTGTGTGTATGTGTGCCTGTGTGTGTGTGTACACACAGAAACACACACACACAGACAAACACACACCAAAATTTAAACATTTTACTAAAGATTAGGGGCAAACCAAAAGCTTTTGGAGAATCAAGTTAAGTCTTTAATTATCTCAAAAACTGATTAGCCAAAAATGATCTTTATGTACCCCAAATGCCTGCTGGATGAAAAGTTGAACCTTTCTGAGAAGAGAGAACAAATGTAAAAACACTATAAGTTTTAAAAATATAATGTGGCATTTAACCAAAAATCCACAGGCATGTCTGGAAAAGGAACCAAATATGGTGAAAATAAAGAGAAATAACAGACAATAAAATACAGGAAATCTGAGTATTGGAGTTATAAAAATAGACATTAAAACAATTGTGATAGATGTTCAAGAAAATGAACAATTGGATAAAGAAATTCACCAGTGAATAACTAAAGTCTATTTATTTATGATTAATTTCTTCTTTATTAAATAATATAACTTTTTTTATCAAAGTGATCCAGAATTGTTAAAAGTCAAATGCAATTTGTTTCTCAGAATTAGAATAAAAAAAAAAATCAAGCATTTCTAAAAGGTCACTTGTGCAAAACAGAGTTCTCTCTTTACTCCTCCTCTGGTCCTTTTCCCAAGGATTACACCATAAACCTAGTTAGTCATTTCTTGGCATATTTACAACCATATTTCAAAATAAGTGATTTTTTAGAAAGTATTGGTTTTCTTTTCTGAAAGAAAAGAAAAAAGGTTTTCTGATTAAAACCTTTAACTGAAGGGTGAAGATATAATGTTCTTACTTATTTCTCGAATTCACACACATACATTCTGTCCTGATTGTCTCATATATAATTTTTACTTTGATCTCTATTCAGCTAAAATTTGCTAATTTATATTTTATTTTATTTACTTTATTTATTTTCAAGATAGAGTTTCACCGTCACCCAGGCTGGAGTTTAGTGGCACAGTTTTGGCTGACTGCAACCACTGTCTCCCAGGTACAAGTGATTCTCCTGCCTCAGCCTCCTGAATAGGTTACAGGCAACCACCACCATGACCAACCATTTTCTTTGTATTTCTAGTAGAGAAGGGGTTTTATTATGATGGCCAGGCTGATCTCAAACTGCTGGCCTCAAGTGATCCAGCTGTCTCAGCCTCCCGAACATGAAATTACACTTGTGATCCACAGTATCCAGCCAAAATTTGTTTATTTTTAACACAGAATATAATGGTGGCTCTGGAACCAACCAAAAAGTAAATAAGTAAAATGCACTCAAGAGATATGCTTAAAGCAAATTGGATACAGCAGAAGAGATTCGTGAATATTAGCTAGGTCAGTAAAAAAATATTGTGCTAATGTGTGAGGAGAAGAAAAGGTGGTAATACAGGAAAAACAATAAGAGAGCAATAGAGCACAGAGAAAAGTCAAACATGTAACTGAAGTCTGAGAAGGAAAGAGTGGGGTGGATACTATACTGGCTGAGAACATTCCAAAACCAATAAAGACATGAAGCCACATTTGCAGGAAGTTCTATAAACTCCAAGCAGGACATGTGCAAGAAAATCCACATGAAAGCAGTCATCATTATATTTCGAAAACCCAAAGACAAAATATTAAAAGCAGACAGGCTCCCTCTCCTTCACACACACATACACCTTTGAAAGAAACATTTTGCCTGACAGTCGGCTTGTCAACAAAAATTTTAAAAGCTGGTGCAACTTACAATCGTTGGTATTATCTTTGGTGCACTTAAAAAAATAACTATTCACTAAATTCTGAACACAGGAATCATGCATACTAAAAAGAAAACGGAGCAATTTTTACTTCTATGTTACTAGGTTGGTGCAAAAGTAATTGCAGTTTTTGCCATTGAAAGTAATGGAGGTAGGGCACAGTGGCTTATGCCTGTAATCTCAGCGCTTTGGGAGGCCGAAACAGGTGGATCACTTGAGAGGTCCGAAGTTTGTGACCGGTCTGGCTAACATACGGAGACCCTGTCACTACTAAAAATGCAAAAATTAGCCTGGCATGGTGGCAGGTGCCTGTAATCCCAGCTGCTTATCAGGCTGAGGCAGGAGACTTGCTTGAACCCAGGAGGTGGAAGTTGCTGTGAGCTGAGATCACTCCAGCCTGGCTACAGAGCAAGATTCCACCTTAAACAAGAAACAAAGGGAATTGCAATAACCTCAATTATGTTTGCACCAACCAACATAAGTTAGTTTCCCTCCCACTGTTAGCAAATGGAAACTAAACGAATGTACAAACTAAGTGTTTCCTGTAATTGAACAACAGATAGTAAAGGGCTGTGATCCATGTGAGAAGGGTACAAATCACATGTGTACTGTGACTGCCCAGCTTCCTACCTGGAGACATTTTCAGTATCACTGTAGAGGAAAAGGAAGCCAAACAGAACACGGTGGCCTCACTAGATTGAGAGATCAGAGCTCATGGAGGCTTAGGTAGCTAGATTTTGGGAGGCAGAAACTGGAGAGCAGAAGGCTACACAGATGAGAAGGCAGCAATTTTTCATAAAGATTTAAGTTTCTAGCTGACAACTAAGATGTGCATAAAAAGAATAAAGTCCCATGTAGCCAGGAGGAGAGCAGTTAGTGGAGAGGTGTAAGTCGAGCAATTTCTAGATGTAAGGAAGAACTGGAACATAGGCAAGTTCTGATGATCCTCAGTGAGAAAACTCATTGGACACCTGGGGGGTACAGGAGAGCCCACAGATGGATGGCACCTTCCTGGCAGCAGAAATAAACTAGCTCTAGAGTAACAGCTGTTGTAAGACTTGACCTATGTTGCTTATAGATTCTGGATATTAGCCCTTTGATAGGTGCATGGTTTGCAAATATTTTCTCCCATTCTGTAGGTTGCCTCTTTACTTTTTTTAATTTCTTTCACTTCGCAGATGCTCTTCAGTTTAATTAGGTCCCATTTGTCAATATCTGTTTTTATTATCATTGCTTTTGGCATCTTTGTCATGAAATGTTTGCAGGACCCATGTCCACAGTGGTATCTTCTAGGTTTCCTTCAAGGGTTTTCGTAGCCCTAGCAACACTTTAGGTATTAGGTTTAAGCCTTCAATCCATCTTAAGTTGATTTTTGCATGCGGTAAAAGAAAGGGTCTAGTGTCGATCTTCTGCATTGGATATCCAGATATCCCAGCAATATTTATTGAAAAGGAAATCCTTTGACTGTGAAAAGCAATTTGGAGATTACTCAAAGAACTTAGAGAAGAACTAGCATTTTACCCAACAATCCAGTGGGTGTATTTCCAAAGGAATATGAACCTTCTACCATAAAGTCCTCTACATACATATGCCCATCACAGCATTATTCACAATAGTAAAGACATAGAATCAACCTTAGTACCAGCAGTGGTAGACTGGATTAAAAAGAATGAGATTATGTCTTTTGCAGCAACATGGATAGAGCTGGAGGCCATTATCGTAAACAATCTAATGCAAAACAGAAAATCAAATGCTGCGTGTTCTCACTTATCAGCTGAAGCTAAACACTGAGTACACATAAATAGAAAGAAGAGAGCAACAGACACCAGGGCCTGCTGGAGGGTAGAGTGTGGGAGGAGTTTGAGGATCAAAAAACTATGTATCATATACTATGCTCATTAATTGGTTGGTGAAACAATTTGTACAGTAAACCCCTGCGACACTCAACTTACCTGTATAATAAACCTGCACATGTACCCCTGAAACAAAAGTAAAAGTTGATAAAATTATTGAAAAGAAATACCAAGAATTTCCTAATCAGAAAAATTTTCTCTAAATTTAAAGGTGATGTCTGGGCAAAGTGACTCTTGCCTGTAATTATAGCATTTTGGGAAGCCAAGTGGTTTAATCACCCGAAGTTAGGAGTTCAAGACCAGCCTGAACAACGTGGTGAAACCCTGTCTCTACTAAAAATACAAAATTAGCTGGGCATGGTGGCAGGTATTTGAATGAACAAGTTACCTTAACAAGGTCACAGAATACAACAACAATGCCAACAATAAACAACTGAAAAATAAAATTTTTAAAATAGTACCATTCAGATTGGGTGTAGTGGTTTATGCCTGTTGTCCCAGAACTTTGGGAGGCTGAGGTGAGTGGATCATGAGGTCAGGAGTTTGAGACCAGCCTGGCAAACATGGTGAAACACCAGCTCTACTAAGAATACCAAAACTATTCAGGTGTGGTGGTGATTTTCTGTGATACTAGCTACTGGGGAGGCTGAGGCAGGAGAATTTCTTGAATCCAGTAAACTGAGATCATGCTTAAAATTTTTAAGATGTGAATTCTGCACACATTGCACTACAGGTTCATCATCCCAATAAATATTTTCACAAGCTTTTCTTGCAAAATTTGACAAGCAGTTTACAAAATTTATATATATATATTCAAAGGACATGGAACTTCCTAAAAATTTTTTTGTCACAGGAGAAAGTTGGAAAGACTTTATTTTCAACTGATTTCAAGACTTAACTATAAAGCTAATCACGTGAGTGTGGTTTTGGCACAGGATGGATATATAGAGCAAAGAAACAGAATTGATTAGGAATAGACCCACATCTTTGTGACCAATCAGTTTATCACAAAGGTGCCAAATTAACTCAAATTAATTAATTCAACAAGAATAGTCTTTTCTTCCAATTTTGGTGAAATAACTGGAACTTCACGTGGAAATAAGTGAACTTTGATACTTCATTTACTCTATACACACAGATTAACTCCGAATGGGTGGTAGACTTAAATGTAAACGATAAAGACATAAAACTTTTAAAGAAAACCCAGGAGAAAATTTCTGAGGATTCGGGTAAGCCAAATTTTCTTTCTTCCTTTCTTTTTCTTTTTCTTTCCTTTTCTCTCTCTTTCTTTTTTTTCTCCTTCCTTCTTTCCTTCCTTCCTTCCCTTTTTCCTTCCTCCTCCTCCTCCTCCTCCTTCTTCTTCTTTCTTTCTTTTTCGTTCTTTTCTTTCTTTTTTTTCCTGAATCTCCCTTCAGTCAGGGTCCTGAGGAAAGTCTCCGCTCCCCACCCTGCTGTTATAAAGTGATTTCTGCTCACACACACATGCACACTGGACAATCATGTAGCATTACTCCTCCAATTACAAGGCCTCACCCTCAGAAATCGTGCTAAGAGAACTTGTGCGTCTCGAGTTTTCTGCCAACGGGCTATGTAAATGCCCAGAGGATTCATGGCTTACTTATATTCCCAGATCTTGAATCTGCAGAAGTGACCTGTTTCCTCCACTAGCCTAGGCTTCTGGGTCATCTGTCCCTCTTATCTGCCTGCATGTACACATTTATAAGTCAGAGCTACCCCGCCTGCCTGGACCAGTAACTGCAGCAATAACCAGTCTTTTCACCAACTGTGTACTGTTCCCTACCCATTTTTTTAATTTTCTTTTTCTTTATTTTTTTTTTTTTGAGACTAAATTTCATTCTTGTTGTTCAGGCTGGAATTCAATGGTGGGATCTCAACTCATTGCAACCTGTCTCTCTGGTTCAACAGATTCTCTTGTCTCAGCCTCCCAACTAGCTGGAATTAAAGGTGCATGCCACCACTCACAGCTAATTTTTGTATTTTCAGTAGAGATGGGGTTTCAGCATGATGGCCAGCCTTGTCTTAAGCTCGACCTCAGGGGATCCACCCACCTCGGCCTCCACAAAGTGCTGGTGTTACTGGAGTGACCCTCTGCACCCGGCCCTATAGGCTTTTTATAGCATATTCTTTTATACTGACTTTTTTCTTTTCCACAAATGCTGTTTCACAATCCCAAGGCCACACGTCTGGTGCCTAAATACAAACCCTATTTAAAACCCAATGTCCACGAGATCAGAATAAATTATTTGGACTTACTTATTGTAAGCATAAATGCAAAATGAAAACGAGACACTTAATCAACCTAAAAATAAAAAAGAAATTTACTCTTCTTCTTCTTAAAACGTTTAATTTAGATACCTTTTATATGTAAATTGTTTCTCTCCTTTTTGTCTTTTATGTATCTATGAAATCTGCTTCTGCTCTGATTTTTATTTTCTCTCTCTCTCTATCTAAAGTTTCACTTTTGTAACCTAGGCTGGAGGGCAGTGGTGTGATCTTGGCTCACCACAACCTTCATTTCCCAGTTTCAAGGGATGCTTCGGCCTCAGTGTCCCCAGTAGCAAAATTACAGGCACCTACCACCACACCCGGCTAATTATTTTATTTTTAGTAGAGACTGGGTGAAACACGGTGAAACCCAGTTGGCCAGGCTATTCTCCAAATGATAACCGCAGATGATCCACCTCTCAAAACATTGGCCTCTCAAAGTGCTGAGATTACAGGTGTCAACCACTGTGCCCAGCCTATTATTTTCATTATAATGCAATCATTGAGAATATTTAGTTTTTTGAAATATTTTGTGAATTAAGTTTCATCTAACATCTCTTTCTTTTTTTAATATGGAAAGACCGCACTATAAATTTCTGTTTTAGAATTGTTTTCTGGGTTATTTTGCATTCCATGAGTTACTGTATGTTGTGTTTCTATTTTCTTTTCTCATTGACAAATACTTTCTGATTTCCCTTTGCTTTTTCTATTTGACACGTTGGATGTCAAGGAATATGTTATTTACTTTTCACATATTTGTGAGCTTCAGATTTTTCTTTGGCTATTGATTTGTAGTTTTATTAAATTATAATTTTAAAAGGAGAAACATCGGGACATGGAAGCTCATGTCTGTAATCCAAGCACTTTGAGAAGCCGAGGCAGGTGAATTACCTGAGGTCAGGTGTTTCAGACCAGTCTGACCAACATAACGAAACCGCGTCTTTACTGAAACTACAAAATTAACTTGGTGTGGTAGCGTGTGCCTGTAATTTTACCTACTTGGGAGGTTGAGGCAGGAGAATCACTTGAACCTGGGAGGTGAAGGTTAAAGTGACCTGAGATCTCGCCCACGCACTCCAGCCTGGGTGATAGAGAGAGACTCCATCTCAAAAAGAAAAATAAATAAAAGTGGATATAATTCTAATATTTTTAAGCACAGCACATTCTATGCGTTGATTGTGTAATTCCCAGATGCAGACCACTGTCCCTTATAGAGTGGAAGAAAAGAAGGCCGTGCTCCCAAAAATTACTCGGACAGCTAAGATCAAGGAACATACCCATGCTAGATTAGATATCAAGTATTTCTAAGCAGAATTACATTAGACAATAAAAATATTAAATTATTCTTACATGACTGATAGTTCACTTGTTATGATAACAAGCCCACTGTTATTTCATACCATGGCTAACTCATACCTTGTAATCTGTCCTTAGGTAAGCAAAAGTCAACTAAATTAGTCATTCAAACACAGTAAACTAATGAATAATCAATCTGTTTCTTTTTATTTTGGCAATCAGTGTGTTTTTATTTTTTATGGAAGTAAGTAGGAAGAAAAATGAAGATGATATCCTGAAAAGACATTTAGTTGCAGACTCAACATCTACAAATCTAACTTCAAAGGAACAATACTGAGACTTGCTCCTCCAGATGTCAATCAGGACCCCTAATAAGTGGCATCCACTGAGTGCCTACAAGAGATACAGAATTTCAGGCTCACCCAACTCAGGAATTACAATCTGGCTTTTAACAAGAATCCTAAGTAGAGGAAATACACATAAGTTTAAGGACAACCTGGAGCGTCTCTAGGGGTCATGAGAATGAGGGGGCTGGGTCCATACAGCCTTAGATGTGCCACAGGACCAAGGGCTCCTGGAGGAAACTGATTGTAGGTGTGTTGAACCCGTCTTGTTTCTCGAGGAGGGACACACCTCGGAATGAGCAGGTGATTAGGACACCTGCAGGTGGCAGCCAGACCCCACTACGCCGAGGCTTTCTGAAGTACCAGGAATACAAAGAATGCGGAGCGCCTCCCCAAACTGAGCCAAACGCTGAACGGCCGCAGAAGGTAAGCGGACTACAGAGAAACCGCGCTAAAGTGCACTGGCCACACTCGTGTCCACGTCTCCCACACACACAAACACACGCACACACTCATCAACACACTCAGAAAGATACATGCATACACACACACACACACTCAGAAAGACACACGGAGACATCCAACACTCACACGGAAACACACACTGCCAGGTAGCTCCTGAGGCTGCGGGGTTCTGCTCTGCCTGGAAGCCCCTCGGGGACAGAGCAGCCCCGCCACAGGCAGGCAGGGGGTACCTGGAAATCCCAGCCACGAGGGCTTTCAACGAGAGGCACCCTCACACTGTTTGGGCAGGTCTGCAGCATCTCGGTGATTCTTGGGGAGCGCCGTGGACATCCCTGAAGCCCCGACAGATCTTTCTTCTGCCTGGCTCGGCCTGCCGGATTCCTAAAATCGCAGGACTCAGCGATGATCACGCGGAGAAAGAGTCCGTTGCCCGATGCTGAGGCACTGCCACAGAGGACCGCTGCTTTGGGAAGCCACTGTGATCGTTCCCCAGGCAACGGTGGCTGTTCCTGTGACGCGAGCCCGGGCTCAGCGCTGGCGCTTGTGACAGGCCGCCTGCGCATGCGCTTTCGTCTGCCCAGCTGGGGAGCCGCGATGTTGGCGCTGTCCAGCTGCTGCCGCACAGGTACAAGGTGGAGACGGTGGCAGGGGCGGCGCCTGGAAGGAGGTTGCGTGCCACAAGCAGCATAGGCCCCTGACAGTCCTGACCTCAGTACCTCGTTGCAGCCACTCTTCGGTTCCGGTCGGGTGGAGGAGGAGAGCGCTTCAGGCCAGGAAGCGGGCACTTTGGGTGTTACCAGAACGTTACCCGGCCCAATGAGCTGACTGCCACTTTTCGACCTGGGCCACCGACCAAGGGGCCCTGCCTTTATCTCCAAGCCCAGGGACTCCTGCATCTCACCACTACTGTCTGGACATGGAGGGAACAACCACAAAGAGGCAAGCCCAGTGTGCAGCAGAGGTAGTGACACCTGAAACTGGCTTCCCATGGGGGTCGATCGTGTGTAGAGGGTGTTTCCAAAGCTTTTTTTGGTGAAATCAAGCCCAAGGTAGAAGCCCAGGCATGCCGCTGAGAACCCCCAAGAAAGCCAAGCACAGGAAGATGACATCTGCCATCTGAAGAGGGACTGTGCCAGAGTCCAAGCCTCCTTCAGGGATTCCTGCCTGAAAGGACAGAAGGAGCCAGCAAAAGGGCAAGATGCCCCAACCCCCACACCGGTATCACTACCTGCCACCTGGCATGCACCCAGCAAACCCCAGTCTCTTTAGCTCCGTGAAATCCCTGGCACTCAACAGGTTCAGTGTTCATAACACTTGCATGACCTACAGCAAAAACACCTCAATCAAACTCATATCAAACAGATACTCAGACACACACACACACACACACACACACACACACACACACACATCAGTCCTGATGAACACTAATATGTTTCATACTTTGTCAAAAAGACCTCAATCAATCTGGTATTTTAAAGACAGTAAGACACAGGAGATACTCATATATATTTAAATAATTAATAAGAGGATCACAAGCTCTTTATGTTTTTAACTACTGTTTCAAATTAGTCATCCTCAACCCCATCCTTAACCTGCTGCAAATATTCTTGAGTTAAATTCTTCTTCATTATAGAAGATTGTTATTGTTTTCTTTATTTTTGTTGTGTCATTTACACTGTTGTATTAGACTCATGCTTGGGGCGTCATTTTTGCCATACTGCAATAGTTGTGCTGCAGTCCGAATTATTCATGTGTATCTCCTGAACATGGAACTACTTAGTACTTTACCCTATATTTTGGGGAACTTAACTTTCAGCATAGCTCCCAAGACATTCTACATAAACTAAGTCTGAAATATTAGCCAATTTTTTACAACTTTTCTAAATTTATTGAAAAATATTTTCATTCTCTACTATAAATTTTACTCGAACTTTCTCACTGCTTTTATGAAAAAACTCAAAATTTAAGACTTCATGCCATCGTTTGAGAAATGGGTGGGACAGGTTGACATGAGTGTGGCCAGTGCACTCCAGCGCGGTTTCTCTGTAATCTGCTTACCTTGTGCTGTCGGTCAGCGTTTGGCTCAGTTTGGGGTTGCGGCGCCCCGCATTCTTCGTTTTCCTGGTGCTTCAAAAAGCCTCGGCATAGTGGGGTCTGGCTGCCACCTGCAGGGGTCCTAATCACCTGTTCAACCCGAGGTTGGGTCACTTTTCGAGAAACTCGACGGGGGCAACACGCCTACAATCAATTTCCTCCAGCAGCCCTTGGTCCTGTGGCACATCTAAGGTTCGAGGGACCCAACCGTTCCATCCTCATGACCCCTTCAGGGGCTCCAGTGCTGTCCTTAAACTTATGTGTTTTTCCTCTACTTAGGATTCTTGTTAAAAGCCAGATTGTTATTCTTGAGTTGGGGTGAGCCTGAAATTCGGTATGTCTTGTAGGCACTCAGTGGATGCCACTGATTAGGGGTTCTGATTAACATTTGGGGGAGCAAGTCTCAGTATTGTTCTCTTGAACTAAGAATCGTAGGTGTCGAGTTTGCATTTAAAAGTCTTTTCAGGATATCATCTTCATTTTTCTTCCTAGTTACTTTCCTAAAAAAATTAAAACACACTTATTGCCAAAATAAAGGGAAACAGATTGATAATTCATAAATTGACTGTGTTTGAATGACTAATTTAGTTGACTCTTGGTTACCTAAGGACAGATTACAAGGTATGAGTCAGCCATGGTATAAAACAACAGTGGGCTTGGCATCATAAACAAGTGAACTATCAGTCATATAAGAAAAAATTAATATATTTGTAGTTTAATGTCATTCTGTTTAGAAATATTTGGTATGTAATTTAGCTTGGGAATATTTTTTGATCTCAGTTGTCCGAGTAATTTTTGGGAGCAGGGCCTCCTTTTCTGCCACTCTCTAAGGGGCCATCATCTGCATGTGGGAATTACACAACTACGCACAGAATGTGCTGTGCTTGGTGGAGGTTTCTAACTTATTGGCTGCAAATACTTATGTACTTAGATTTCTTTGACATGCTTATATATGTGCTTTGAAATAGTAGATGTATTCTGAACAATGGGATGTGAATTTTCAATGAATTTAGTTTTAAATGATCTTTTATAAGACATTTTAGTTGGTTTTACACTTTCTAGGTTTTTAGATGTGTGAGACCTTTTCCTTCTGCTGTTTTCAGTTGCTTAGAAATTATTTGTTTATGTAAACATGAATGCACATGCATACATGTGGGCAAATGATGTGTGTAGTTAGTCCCAAGTTGAGCATTTCAGCTGTAGAAGTCATTTGTGATGTTATGAAACCTGAAACTCTGAGTAAATCATAATTATGGATAACTAAGAAATGTTGCTATAATTCTTTAAAATAATTTTCCAGAATTCATTTATTCCATCAGATATATGGTGATTTACAGGTGAAGTACTTTAGAGTATATTGAACGTGTTACTTTTAAATTTCTGTGGCAAAAATGTTAATGAAATGCAGTAGTCTTATACTGTACTAATTAGACATAGCTAAGTCTTCAAGGAACTAACTTAAGCAAGAATGTTGAAAATATGAAATTTATTTTTATCATTAATTCAACATTTGTTATGTATATATTTTTCTTCATATTATCAGCGGAGGAAACAAGGCTTCTCTCTCGTGAAAGAAAAACATGAGGTTGGAATATGTTAAGACCTTTACACAGTGTTAAATTTGAGTAAGGTGTTTGCATAAAATCATTTCCATCACATCCTGATTATGACTGGTTATGTTTCATTTTATTATTCCTTGTGTGTTTGGAAAGAGGTTCTGGTGAGAGAATACAAAGGTAGTCTGTGTTGCAAAAGAAGCCCAAGGCTGTAGATGGAAGAATTGCATATGCAACTTTGCAAGAAACTTGGGGACAAGGAAAATCTTGTCAGGTAAATTGGATGCTAAAACCTTGTCTTTAGGGATTAACTGTCTATGTCTATTATATTCTCATCACAGAACAAAAGTGGAAATAATTTCACAATAAGACCTATCTTAAAATATTCTTTATCAGAAACAGTACTTCAGAAACAGATTTCATCCACTTATTAAGCTCCCACGCATGGTTATACTCTGAATGTAGATGCAAATAAGAGTGATAATCTGACACAGAAAATTGCTTTTTTCAGGAGAAGAGTTGTTGGACAACAGTCTCTCCTTAGAGGCCATAAACCAATTTGATCTAAGCACTTTTTGCTAAGGTTATGATGTTTTATGTCAAAACAATAATGTTTCTACACTCCCTTAGCCTATTCTAAATGTTGAAATTTGGGTTAAATGCTTCTCTCTGGTGACATAAAGAAAGGTGAGAAGATGGCCCAGGAAGAGCTTTTTTTGTTCCCTTTTCCTTTCTTTGTTTCATCTGGTAATTGTTTTCTTTTAATCAGTCCTAATGCTGATCAGGAATCTCACCTGATTAATCACGTAGGCTCTTCTTAACAGTCCAGAAGAAATTGATGAAAGCTCTGAGTGGGGTGGGCCAGTGAAGGGGTGAACAAAAAGCTAATTAAAAATAGGCATCAAACCCTCAAAGACAGTGGCACAAAGGTTCTTCCAATTGTTACAAAAAATTTGTAAGGTAAAAAGTTCCGATTTCTGGAAAAAATTGTCTTCTGGTAAAGCCTCATTAAATTACCCGAGGACACACAAATTCAATATTTCTGAAATAATAAACATATTGATAAAAGAAAGATTTGAGTGTTGTCAGGTTTTTAAATATTTACTTGAAAAATTAAATTTTAATTTTAAACTTATATATTGATTTTAAAAGAACAAAGACATTTTGATTAAATAAATATATTAGTATTTGTTAGGCTTTTAAATATTTATTCCAAATCATGTCATCTATTTTCATGATTGTGAATGTCACTTGTAATTTCTCAAACGATGGCATGAAGTCTTAAATTTTGAGTTTTTTCATAAAAGCAGTGAGAAAGATCGAGTAAAATTTATAGTAGAGAAAGAGAAAATCCTTCAATAAATCTAGAAAAGTTGTAAGGAATTGGCTAATATTTCAGACTTAGTTTATGTAGAATGTCTTGGCAGCTATGCTGAAAGTTAAGTTCCCCAAAATATAGGGTAATGTACTAAGTAGTTCCATGTTCAAGAGATACACATGAATAATTCGGACTGCAGTACAACTATTGCAGTATGGCAAAAATGACTCCCCAAGCATGAGTCTAATACAACGGTGTAAATGACACAACAAAAATAAAAAAAACAATAACAATCTTCTATAATGAAGAAGAATTTAACTCAAGAATATTTGCAGCAGGTTAAGGATGGGGTTGAGGATGACTAATTTGAATCTTTAAAAACATAAAGAGCTTGGGATCCTCTTATTATTTAAATATATATGAGTATCTCCTGTGTCTTACTGTCTTTAAAATACCAGATTGATTGAGGTCTTTTTTACAAAGTATGAAACATTAGTATTCATCAGGACTGGTGTGTGTGTGTGTGTGCGCGCGTGTGTGTGTGTGTCTGAGTATCTGTTTGATATGAGTTTGATTGAGGTGTTTTTGCTGTAGGTCATGCAAGTGTTATGAACACTGAACCTGTTGAGTGCCAGGGATTTCACGGAGCTAAAGAGACTGGGGTTTGCTGGGTGCATGCCAGGTGGCAGGTAGTGATACCCGTGTGGGGGTTGGGGCATCTTGCCCTTTTGCTGGCTCCTTTTGGCTTTTCTGGCAGGAATCCCTGAAGGAGGCTTGGACTCTGGCACAGTCCCTCTTCAGATGGCAGATGTCATCTTCCTGTGCTTGGCTTTCTTGGGGGTTCTCAGCGGCATGCCTGGGCTTCTGCCTTGGGCTTGATTTTAACAGTAGTTAAAAACATAAAGAGCTTGTGATCCTCTTATTAATTCTTTAAATATATATGAGTATCTCTTGTGTCTTACTGTCTTTAAAATACCAGATTGATTGAGGTCTTTTTGACAAAGTATGAAACATATTAGTATTCATCAGGACTGGTGTGTGTGTGTGTGTGTGTGTGTGTGTGTGTATGTGCATGTGTGTGTGTGTCTGAGTATCTGTTTGATTTGAGTTTGATTGAGGTGTTTTTGCTGTAGGTCATGCAAGTGTTATGCAAAAAAAGCTTTGGAAACACCCTCTACACATGATCGACCCCCATGGGAAGCCAGTTTCAGGTGTCACTACCTCTGCTGCACAGAGGGCTTGCCTCTTTGTGGTTGTTCCCTCCATGAAGAGACAGTACTGGTGAGATGCAGGAGTCCCTGGGCTTGGAGATAAAGGCAGGGCCCCTTGGTGGGTGGCCCAGGTCGAAGAGTGGCAGTCAGCTTATGGTGCCGGGTAACGTTCTGGTAACACCCAAAGTGCCCGCTTCCTGGCCTGAAGCGCTCTCCTCCTCCACCCGACCGGAACCGAAGAGTGGCTGCAACGAGGTACTGAGGTCAGGACTGTCAGGGGCCTATGCTGCTTGTGGCACGCAGCCTTTTTCCAGGCGCCGCCCCTGCCACCGTCTCCACCTTGTACCTGTGCGGCAGCAGCTGGACAGCGCCAACATCGCGGCTCCCCAGCTGGGCAGACGAAAGCGCATGCGCAAGCGGCCTGTCACAAGCGCCAGCGCTGAGCCCGGGCTCGCGTCACAGGAACAGCCACCGTTGCCTGGGGAACGATCACAGTGGCTTCCCAAAGCAGCGGTCCTCTGTGGCAGTGCCTCAGCATCGGGCAACGGACTCTTTCTCCGCGCGATCATCGCTGAGTCCTGCGATTTTAGGAATCCGGCAGGCCGAGCCAGGCAGAAGAAAGATCTGTCGGGGCTTCAGGGATGTCCACGGCGCTCCCCAGGAATCACCGAGATGCTGCAGACCTGCCCAAACAGTGTGAGGGTGCCTCTCGTTGAAAGCCCTCGTGACTGGGATTTCCAGGTAAGCCCTGCCTGCCAGTGGCGGGGCTGCTCTGTCCCCGAGGGGCTTCCAGGCAGAGAGCAGAACCCCCCAGCCTCAGGAGCTACCTGGCAGTGTGTGTTTCCGTGTTAGCGTTGGATGTCTCCGTGTGTCTTTCTGAGTGTGAGTGTGTGTGTATGCATGTATCTTTCTGAGTGTGTTGATGAGTGTGTGCGTGTGTTTGTGTGTGTGTGTGTGACACACGGACACAAGTGTGGCCAGTGCACTCCAGCGCGGTTTCTCTGTAGTCCGCTTACCTTGTGATGTCGGTCAACGTTTGGCTCAGTTTGGGGCTGCGGCGCTCGGCATTCTTCGTTTTCCTGGTTCTTCAAAAAGCCTCGGCGTAGTGGGGTCTGGCTGCCACCTGCAGGTGTCCTAATCACCTGCTCATTCCGAGGTGTGTCCCTCCTCGAGAAACAAGAAGGGTGCAACACACCTACAATCAGTTTTCTCCAGGATCCTTTGGTCCTGTCGCAAATCTAAGGCTGTAGGGACCCAGCCGCCCCATCCTCATGACCCCTAGAGAGGCTCCAGGCTGTCCTTAAACTTATGTGTATTTCCTCTACTTAGGATTCTTGTTAAAAGCCAGATTGTTATTCCTGAGTTGGGGTGAGCCTGAAATTCTGTATTTCTTGTAGGCACTCAGTGGATGCCACTTATTAGGGGTCCTGATTGACATTTGGAGAAGCAAGTCTCAGTATTGTTTTTTTGAAGTTAGATGTTGAATCTGCAACTAAAAGTCTTTTCTGAATATCATCTTCATTTTTCTTCCTACTTACTTCCCTAAAAAATTAAAAAACACTGATTGCCAAAATAAAAAGAAACAGATTAATAATTCATAACTTTACTGTGTTTGAATGAGTAATTTAGTTGACTTTTGCTTATCTAAGGACATATTACAAGGTATGAGATAGCCATGGTATGAAATAACAGTGGGCTTGTTGTCATAACAAGTGAACTATCAGTCATGTAAGAATAATTTAATATTTTTATCGTATAATGTAATTCTGTTTAGAAATATTTGATATCTCATCTAGCTTGGGTGTGTTCCTTGATCTTAGCTGTCTGAGTAATTTTTGGGAGCAGGGCCTTCTTTTCTTCCACTCTATAAGGGACAGTGGTCTGCATCTGGGAATTACACAATCAACGTATAGAATGTGCTGTGCTTAAAAATATTAAAATTATATCAACTCTTTTTGTTTGTTTTGAGATGGAGTCTCACTCTATCACCCAGGCTGGAGTGCAAGGGCGAGATCTCAGCTAACTTCAACCTTCACCTCCCAGGTTTAAGTGATTTTCCTGCCTCAACCTCCCAAGTAGGTAAAATTACACGCACACACTACCACACCAAGTTAATTTTGTAGTTTCAGTAAAGACGCAGTTTCATTATGTTGGTCAGACTGTTCTGAAACTCCTGACCTCAGGTAATCCACCTGCCTAGGCTTCACAAAGTGCTTGGATTACAGACATGAGCTTCCATGAGTTTCACCTTTTAACATTACAATTTAATAAAACTACAAATCAATAGCCAAAGAGAAATTTGAAGCTCACAAATATGTGAAAAGTAACATATTCCTTGACAACCAACGTGTCAAATAGAAAACGCAAAGGGACATCAGAGAGTATATTGAGAGAAAAGAAAATAGAAACACAACATACAGTAACTCATGGGATGCAAAATAACCCACAAAACAGTTCTAAAACAGAAATTTATAGTGTGGTCTTGCTATATTAAAAAAAGAAAGAGATGTTAGATAAAAACTTAATTCACAAAATATTTCAAAAAAACCTAAATATTCTCAATGTTTGCATTATAAAGAAAATAATAGGCTGGGCACAGTGGTTGACACCTGTAATCTCAGCACTTTGAGAGGCCAATGTTGGCGGATCACCTGAGGTTATCATTTGGAGAATAGCCTGGCCAACTGGGTTTCACCATGTTTCACCCAGTCTCTACCAAAAATAAAATAATTAGCCGGGTGTGGTGGCAGGTGCCTGTAATTTTGGCTACTGGGGAGACTGAGGCCGAAGCATCCCTTGAAACTGGGAAATGAAGGTTGTGGTGAGCCAAGATCGCACCACTGCCCTCCAGCCTAGGTTACAAAAGTGAAACTTTAGAGACAGAGAGAGAGAGAGAGAGAGAGAAAATAAAAATCAGAGCAGAAACAGATTTCATAGATACGTAGAAGACAAAAAGGAGAGAAAAAATTTACATAAAAAAGGTATCTAAATTAAACATTTTAAGAAGAAAAAGAGTAAATTTCTTTTTTATTTTTAGGTTGATTAAGTGTCTTGTTTTCATTTTGTATTATGCTTACAATAAGTAAGTCCAAATAATTTATCCTGATCTCGTGGACACTGGATTTTAAATAGGGTTTGTATTTAGGCACCAGACGCGTGGCCTTGGGATTGTGAAACAGCATTTGTGGAAAAGAAAAAAGTCAGTATAAAAGAATATGCTATAAAAAGCCTATAGGGCCGGGCGCAGAGGGTCACTCCAGTAATACCAGCACTTTGTGGAGGCCGAGGTGGGTGGATCCCCTGAGGTCGAGCTTAAGACAAGGCTGGCCATCATGCTGAAACCCCATCTCTACTGAAAATACAAAAATTAGCTGTGAGTGGTGGCATGCACCTTTAATTCCAGCTAGTTGGGAGGCTGAGACAAGAGAATCTCTTGAACCAGAGAGACAGGTTGCAATGAGTTGAGATCCCACCATTGAATTCCAGCCTGAACAACAAGAATGAAACTTAGTCTCAAAAAAAAGAAAAAGTAAAAGAAAAAAAACTATGGGTAGGGAAAGGTACACAGTTGGTGAAAAGACTGGTTATTGCTGCAGTTACTGGTCCAGGCAGGCGGGGTAGCTCTGACTTATAAATGTGTACATGCAGGCAGATAAGAGGGACAGATGACCCAGAAGCCTAGGAAACAGGTCACTTCTGCAGATTCAAGATCTGGGAATATAAGTAAGCCATGAATCCTCTGGGCATTTACATAGCCCATTGGCAGAAAACTCTAGAAGCACAAGTTCTCTTAGCACGATTTCTGAGGGTGAGGCCTTGTAATGAGAGGAGTAATGCTACATGATTGTCCAGTGTGCATGTGTGTGTGAGCAGAAATCACTTTATAGCAGCAGGGTGGGGAGCGGAGACTTTCCTCAGGACCCTGACTGAAGGGAGATTCAGGAAAAAAAAAGAAAGAAAGGAACGAAAAAGAAAGAAGGCAAGAAAGAAGAAGAAGAAGAAGAAGGAGGAGGAGGAGGAGGAGGAGGAGGAGGAGGAGGAGGAAGGAAGAAAGTAAAAAGGGAAGGAAGGAAGGAAAGAAGGAAGGAGAAAAAAGAAGGAAAGAGAGAGAAAAGGAAAGAAAAATGAAAGAAAGAAAGGAAAAAAAAGAGAAAGAAAGGAAGAAAGAAAATTTTGCTTACCCAAATCCTCAGAAATTTTCTCCTGGGTTTTCTTTAAAAGTTTTATGTCTTTATCGTTTACATTTAGGTCTACCACCCATTCTGAGTTAATCTGTGTGTATAGAGTAAATGAAGTATCAAAGTTCACTTATTTCCACGTGAAGTTCCAGTTATTTCACCATAATTGGAAGAAAAGACTATTCTTGTTGAATTAATTAATTTGTGTTAATTTGGCACCTTTGTGATAAACTGATTAGTCATAAAGATGTGTGTCTATTCCTAATCAATTCTGTTTCTTTGCTCTATATATCCATCCTGTGTGAAAACCACAGGCACTTGATTAGCTTTATAGTTAAGTCTTAAAATCAGTTGAAAATAAAGTTTTTCCAACTTTCTCCTGTGACAAAAAAATGTTTTGGCAGTTCCATGTCCTTTGAATATATATATAAATTTTGTAAACTGCTTGTCAAATTTTGCAAGAAAAGCTTGTGAAAACATTTATTGGGATGATGAACCTGTAGTGCAATGTGTGCAGAATTCACATCTTAAAAATTTTAAACTTCTAAACTATTAATATAATATATTAATATCCATTTACCTTTGGTCTTCTTTAATCTCTCTCAGCAGTGTTTTGAGTTTCTTAGTATACTGAACTTACACTTATTTTGTTAAAGTTATTTCTAGTATTTGATGTTTTTGATATTATTTTGAATGGGATTTTTTTTAGATAGAGTCTCACTCTGTTGCCCAGGCTTGAGTGCAGTGGCATGATCTCAGTTTACTGGATTCAAGAAATTCTCCTGCCTCAGCCTCCCCAGTAGCTAGTATCACAGAAAATCACCACCACACCTGAATATTTTTGGTATTTTTAGTAGAGCTGGTGTTTCACCATGTTTGCCAGGCTGGTCTCAAACTCCTGACCTCATGATCCACTCACCTCAGCCTCCCAAAGTTCTGGGACAACAGGCATAAACCACCACACCCAGTCTGAATGGTACTACTTTTAAAATTTTATTTTTCAGTTGTTTATTGTTGGCATTGTTGTTGTATTTCTGTGACCTTGTTAAGGTAACTTGTTCATTCAAATACCTGCCACCATGCCCAGCTAATTTTGTATTTTTAGTAGAGACAGGGTTTCACCACGTTGTTCAGGCTGGTCTTGAACTCCTAACTTCGGGTGATTAAACCACTTGGCTTCCCAAAATGCTATAATTACAGGCAAGAGCCACTTTGCCCAGACATCACCTTTAAATTTAGAGAAAATTTTTCTGATTAGGAAATTCTTGGTATTTCTTTTCAATAATTTTATCAACTTTTACTTTTGTTTCAGGGGTACATGTGCAGGTTTATTATACAGGTAAGTTGAGTGTCACAGGGGTTTACTGTACAAATTGTTTCACCAACCAATTAATGAGCATAGTATATGATACATAGTTTTTTGATCCTCAAACTCCTCCCACACTCTACCCTCCAGCAGGCCCTGGTGTCTGTTGCTCTCTTCTTTCTATTTATGTGTACTCAGTGTTTAGCTTCAGCTGATAAGTGAGAACACGCAGCATTTGATTTTCTGTTTTGCATTAG